TATATATATATATATATATATATATATATATATATATATATATATATATTCATCCAATTAAAATGTCCCCATTACGTGCATTGTCCTGGTATTGGTTAAGAACGTGAATAAGCATGTGCCAAAATATCTCAACCGTCCATCAGGACAGCTTAAGCTTTCGAAAATCAGATTATCAACGAATAACGAATGATAACAGAGAAATGTGGTGCAAAATCATTACATTGGCTTTTAAAACCGTCATTGTGCTGTCGAAATTTTCGACTTGTTTGGTGTCGTTTCCATTTTGCTCGCTCCTAAAAGAAAGAACAATAACAACAACCTCAAATTGTTCTACTCTTTTAACTTGAACGAAGCAACGTTTGCCTGGATGCTATTTGCAGCATATATTTTCATAATGGTCTTTGAATGAGTCGATAGCTCGATTCCGTAACGACTTGTATTTATAAGAGCAGTACTTGCACTAGTTCAAAAACGTCTAATTGAATAATGATTCAAATAGTAGCTAGTTTGTTGAATAATTGAATGAATGAACATCATAGCGTATGGATTCTTTTCAGATAGAATCAGGATGCGTTTGTAGATGATGTTTGTGTTGAATTGAAGTACTGCTTGGCATAAAAGAGGGTGTTTATGAAAGAGAGATTGTCACCGATGAAACAATCAATCTGTTGCAGATTATAACAATTAGAATGAGTAACTGAATATTCGTCAGTTATTTATTGAATTAATGTTGTGCTGATGTCTCAAATGGAAAGTGTTAGCCTTCAACGCGTCTGTTTCGACATTGAGGATCGTCCACCCCCATCCTATTGGAATAACACTAAAGAAACGGTTCATAGTTCGAGTCGAACACGTACAAATAGCTCACAGTCGTCTGGAGCAGGTACACCAATATCTACAAGTTATCCGAAAATTTCCAAGATTGATCCGCAAGGTTGGTTGACTCTCTTAATAACAAATTTTCATGACATACATTCACATCACCAGTTATATTACTGTCAGAAAAAGGTTAATCGATGTATGACTTCAAATAGCAAACTTGATATGTGTCACAGCTACCATCCAGTGTGAATGAAGCCCAATGGAGACTTGTTGTTAATGATAGATCACCTGGTTGTTGTTAATGATAGGTCACCTGGTTTCATCTTGAAATAATAACATCTAAAAAGCACTTCCTTCAAATTCTCTCGAAAATAACTCGTCACACTTTCCCAAAAAGTAATACTCTGCTACCCGTTTAAGTCATCTTCTTTGTTTACTTTTATTCTTTGATTGGTTTATAATTCAAAGTTTTCTGCATTGAGCGTGTCCAACTCATTTTCATCATAAATATTAATTCACTCAGACTATTCGTTCTTCTATAAGTGTGCAATCAATCAGCTTGAATGATTGAACGCAGGCGTTAAAAGCCCAAATGAACAAGCGATGAGCAATTGTGATCATATTGTATGACTGTGTTTATTGACGGGCTCAGATAAAGATATTGCAGAATGGCTGAAGGCGCCTGAATTCATACCACGATCTAAGCAACTCCTTAACGAATCCTTTCGCACTGATATGACAACACCAACAACAAACTATATGCAGAATCAAGGCCCACTGATGCCAACACTTGCAATGAATGGATTCACAAATATTCCCGAAGCACCACTTCCCGCGCCACCTCGTGCTGCTCCTCCACTACCACCGTTTTCCTCTCTACCAACCATCATCGATATGCCACAGCCAGTTTATCCATCGCATGGTTATTATTCGCTTCATTTTCTGCAATTTACTCATCATTCCTTTGCAATGTTCATATCTCAACGACGAACACCATCTAAACAAATCTTTCTTTCATATCTCAAATCACATGACAACTTCATTCACCAAACACTATTCCAATCCAACCCAGCACATTTCGAAGTACAATATTATGCTGTTGAATGCAAAATACAGAGCCACAATCATTTTAAAGATGCATGCTGGTTGTTCGATGCCGATTATTCGTTACTGATAGTAAATTCGAGAATCGATCAAAAACACACGAAATCGATCAAGAATTTTTTCATTTTCGGAATATGAAGTTGTTTGGAAGAAAGATTCTTTTTCATTTTGTATTCGAACAAACATACGCATTATTGAGGAATTGCATTCTTGAAACTGCTCACTTTCTAGGTACGATAGGATTTCCGTTAACAGCGCAGGCCACACGATATCCTCCATTACCACGTTCATTGGGAATCGTTCGTTTTCCAATACCACGCATTACCACCACCACGCCAACACCATTCCTCCTTCGTCCACCTCTCGGCCTTGTTCCACCCGGATATTCCGCTAATATCACGCAAATTAATGGTTCGGTATTGTTTTCTAAAATCTATTAACAAATGAATACGTGATCATCTCAGTGCAATAACGTCGATTGTCGCACCATCCAGTTACCATAATGAACAATTTATTGATGCAAAAACTCTATTAGTTGAATCACCATTGCATACAAAACGAAACGTGAACTTGGAAAATCACCTTTTTCATAGAATCATTTCAGATGAACTTTCTTGCTAATTGTAGGAAACCGTCCATATGATTACACTCCAAACGCGTTTCATTGAGTGTGTTTCACAATATGTGCTTTCGATTTATGTCAGTCAAGTAATATGATGAAAAAAAAGGAAAGTATACTGCAAATCGGCATATGGAGCGTGTGTGTGACGTTATATGCACACAAAAAATCATTATCGATGGTTAATCAAGTGAACAGCTATTGTCTATATAGTCTTCCACAGAATCATTTATGTGAACTATCCCGTCGAAATCTTAAACAAAGTTTTGTTGAATCCGTTTATCGAGTGATGACTGCATCATTCACAAAAATTCAATTCGAACAGTTGCCTCATCAAAAAGAACAACTGTTTTGATTTGAGTGATTCGCTCAGGTCGGACACACCTGAAATAAATTATGTACGTCTTATTAGTGGGAACATTTGCGTCTTTTTTGTATGCATGTTTCCGATCTCGTAATTTCCAATAATTATTTGTTTGATTACTCAGTCAAGTTTCTAATGACTTCCATATTCCATTGCTTACTTTA